TTCCTTCACACAGCCACAAAACACCTCCAATTATGGATAGTTTATTAATACCAACTGTGATTAATATATACTCGATGTAATTCGTTACATTTTAATTAATGGCACATTTGACAAAATAATATAAATTAAAGTAGAATTACATAGTCTAGACACATCTTCACCACGTGGATAGTCAAAGCTGCATGAACTTATGCCATAGCCGTGAAGGTTACTGCGTTTTCCCGAACAAGCCTTTGTTACAGAATGTTTTGCCATGGCTTGTGGTCCTCATGGGAGGCCTGCCTTCTAGCTCACTTGTGGCATAATTATAATGAGTTGTTAATTGCGGTATATTTAAACAGCCTCCCTCTGTGACCTCTTGGTCTACATTTCAAAACACGTTTGTGGCTCGTTCTATTCCTTTTCATGCACTGGGCTTTAACTAAAACAATATTGTCGTATTGTTGTTGTTGTTGTTTTATTTCCAAATTTTACGCAGCAAAGTATCTGTGCCATCCACCCCGGGCATAAAATAGCAGGAACAACCATAACGTTTTGAGGATACAATAACTGTAACGCAAACCTGGCTCCATTACAAAACATTGCATGCCATCTACGACTGGGCAAAGGCCTCCCCATGCTGTTGGCTCGGTGGTATAGGGGGCGGGGTGACCAGAACCTGTTCGGATATCACTCACCACTGATGTCAGCCGCGGCGGGGAATCGAAATCTGGTTGGTGGTTTTGTATCGCAGTGCACTAACCACTGCGCCACCGCTGAACTTCCCCCCCAACACCACCCCCCCCCCTCACCAATATATTACAGTGGTATTACTAGTGCCCTATATTAATGCACTCGTAATAGCATATTGATAGAGGCAACAACGCAGCAATATAAGGTAATGACACCGAGTCTTGCGTGTACTTTTAATATCCTTACTTTGATATCCTGTTCTCAAAATGTTTTGACCACCCCTTGAGTATATTTTTTCAGAGCCTAAAACATGGCAGATATGAAATTATTTTATTTTCCTTTGCTTCCATTGATACAACTATTTTTTTTGGGGTGGGATAATTTAAAGTCAATAAATATCTCCAGATAGAGCCTCTGGGGATTTCTTCCTTAAGTTCCTTACACGATGTGCATCCCTTTTTTTTCATCACCACCAGACAGGAAGCATCATAAAAAAAAATCACACCGGTTTTGTTAGGGAATGGAAAGGGGGAGTATGATCTACTTGGTGGACATTAGATATATCTCTGGTGCTCTTAGATAAAGAGCAATGGTGTTAACCTCAACGTCCTCACTGAAATCCCACTACAGGTTAATAAAAAATCTCAGACCGGGCCAAATCCTCACTGCCCAGGTAAATACTAGAAAATCAAGTGGCCCTGTATTCCTCCACCACTACGGGACTCGACACAGGAAAAACAAGCACTTACCGCAGGCCTCTGCACCGCATCCACTGGCTGCGAAAATTGAATTTATTTATTAAACTTCAACAGAAGCTAGTTTTGTGGAAATGTCGAGCTTAATTTGTTGCTTATAGAAGCCAGGTGGATTGAAATACCCTTTCGCAGCCAAACAGAAAGCCTAATTTCTCAAATGAATGTAGTATGTTTACTTGGTGGGTGCTCGAGGAATTAGCATTTATCTTTATTATGACATCGGTTTACCAGCAACCTTATGAATACTAATTATATTATTTCCCTGTTGCTTGTGAGTTGAAATTTCTTTCCTATACAATTTTCAAGTGAAATAGTACAAGGCGAACAAGTTGAACAAAGAAGTAATTCATTATGATGTGTATATATATTGCTATATAGCCTTCTTTAGAATGTAAGGGGAAATCTTCTTTCCTTAAATCACTTCATTATTTTGGTGTTTCATGTTATCAGCGGGGAACCCTGAATTTAGTTTCTGCTGAAATTAACGTAGTTATAATTAAGACAATTAAAATATCTCCTGCTGACCTCCCCTTCATGAACGTGTGTGGTTCAGCTGAAAGGGGAAAAAAGGGGTCACACAATCAAATATTTCTTGAAAGACGTATAAAACTGAGCTTTGCAAAGTTCAACTTCCTTTTAATTGGGTAGAGGAATGCTTTGATATCAATTACATGACAAGTAAAGTCAAACTTTTTAAAATATTTTTTTTATTTTCTTACTGATTATTAACACTCAGGGCCCAGGAATTATTTCCCTTTTCAATATAATTAGGGAGTGAATGAAACCATGAACTTCATTTTCCATTGGCTCAAATTGTCCTGAATAATTAAACTGATATCTTAATTAGCTTCATTAAAGAGATCTAACCGCGGGGCATGGCCATATGGTGCTGGAAGACTGAGACGCTGTAGAACCTAATTAAAGCTAAAATAACACGAAGTTTAATTAACTGAACCACAAGACATCATTATTGTCTGATGTATCCGGTCGGATAATTAAAAAGAGTTTTGATTCAGGACAGGGCTGAGATTGCCGCTTCTGAAATGTGAGTTCCAGGCTCTGGTCAGTGCCAGGGCTGTACGACCTAATTAGCCTTTTTATTACTTATAAGCTTCCCACCCTACTGCGGGAGCGCTCGCAAACAAGAGCTGGCACGAGCGACGCGGCGCAGCCATCACGCACGTGCTCGCGAGAAGACTGCAGGCTGCGACACGCTCGCAATGGGCACGGACGAAAGCGAGCTGTGCGGCAAAGCGCCAACAAAGGAGCGGCTGGGCCACGCGAGGCCCCCTCCGCCAAAGCGACGGCGCTGCGACGTTCAAAGCCGCGCGGACGCACGAACAAGATCCCGACGCGCGTGCGTGAGCACGCGCGCAAAGCATCGGCGCACACGAGCCCCATCTCAGCGGAGGGCAAAGGCTTCGGTACAAGATCGGTTCCACAGCCCCCGCCCCCACCACCATCTCTCCACCGCGCCGTTAGCATGAATGCGTGCATCATCCCTTCCAAAACATCCAGCGGTGAATTTCAACATATCAACACTAAATGAATCGCATTAGTGCCCGTTTCGAGCAGATCGATTAACACCACTTGTTACGCTCTCCATTGCTGCTAAGGGCTTGAGGGAGAAGAGAGTTCAGAGGGGATAGCTTCATGTGGTCTACTTTCTCTGCGCTGCTAATATTACTGCCTTTTGGGTGGGGTCCAATATTTTGCCAGAGGTGTAACCCCCCCCCGCCATCCCCTCCTTGGGAGTACCCGAATGCATGTCTGGTGTATGACCACGGTCACCACTGCCGCCACTGCATGGATGAATAACAGCCTACGTTTTATGTACTGAAACAAGCTGTACCATTACATTACTATATTGCACGCATTATTAAATTCATTAGCTGCAGTCATTCCGAGTAAACCGCTGATATAAATTCGTTCAATATTGATGCCATATCCTGCAGCTCCATGTAACTGCAAACCATCCCCCCCCCCACCCCCATCCTGCAAGGGCTGCTCACAACCGTTCTTGAGAATGAGATGTAACAATTCACATGGACTGAATGTCAAGCGTATTTAAAATAGCAATCTTTACATAGTACTACTACAAATAATAAAACGATTTAATTAATGACCATTTTTACTTCAAAATATTTTTTTAAGAGCTTGGCCATGATCTTTAATATATTATTTTATTACCTAACATAATTTCGTCTCATAATATACATACCATCATTTCATCAACATTGTGGTTAGCATTACTGTACTTTCAAAGCAAGATGACATTCCTAAAGCCGAAAATATTAGCACAGCAATTGTAAAATGCAATATTTCTTAACTTTTTAAAATTAGTTTATTGTTGAAGTACTACATTTTCTTAATCACCCAAAATTCACATCTGTCTGCAAAGTTCTTCCAACTGCACAAAAATCTGTAAAATGTTGTAATGATGGGTGTTTGCGATGCGTCGTGGATCGCGGATGCGATATTATATGTGCCAGGTCACACGTTTTGCCATCTGCGTATATAATTAAATCTTCCACAAAAGCAATCTATTTGAAATCGGAAATTTTTTTGAAATGAAAACTCCTTAACTGGGTCTCAAAAGAGCTGAAATGCAGAAATAATGGCACCAAACAACATTCAAATTCCAGCCAGACCCTGCAAATTCTCAGATTGCAAGCACTTGATTTACTAGCGTAGTGTAGTGTAACCCAACTTAAAATGGGCAAACTTCCTAGATAAATATAAATCAAAAGCTGTGGGCTTTAAAAACAGCACATAAATAATAACATTTTGGACATTTACAGTAAAAAGCAATACTTGCAGGAGTCTTAAGAAATAAGAACAAACCCGTGAAACCATAGATTAACTTTTTTATTTTACAAATCCCACAAATATGGTTGAAATTAAATTGAGGTTTGGAACTTGTTTTTCTTGCAAATGTTTTACACTCTTCAACTACAAGTAAGGTCATATGAACCATAAAATCTGTATCGCAATAATTTCTGACACCATGTTGCCTTAACCAATTAAGTTTGCTGTATTAGAAACGTTTACATATACAGTATATTGAATGTGATCCATTACATGGTAACGAATTACAACAATTGGACACAGAATCTGATAATCACTAAATATAACGCGAGTATAATTTTTCTTTTATATTTTCTAAATGTCGGTGCGCTACATAAAAAAAACATATTTCATCTCCATGCCTAACATGCCTGAATTGTCAACGTACTTCTGTTACCGTATAATTATCCCATGTACTCTACACTCAGGTATGCATCATAAAAATACTGTATACTCAGGTTCAATGAAAGTGTCCCTAAAATATGCAATCAGTTGAGTTAATCTCACTTAGTTCATCTCCATCTATAGGACAACCCACGAGTGCCATGTTTCCATGGTCACTGTGAAGCGAGCTGGGGCCTCAAGTTTGCGAACTGAGCAAATGTGGTTCAGACCGGATTCCCCAAGGCAGACTTACTGGGCCACACCAGCTTCCAAGTAGGCCGCACGGATCACCTTAAACCGAGCCACGTGTCTCACACTTATACTCCGGGAGCTGCCGTGCTCTTATCTGGGCCACCCTCCAAAAAGTCGCGAGGTCACGGGGGTCAACGTGGAAAATGGAACGCGTCCATTCGGTGGCATTTTCTCGCGAAGTTTGTCTTCGGTGCCATGTTTTTTAGTCTGAACAAAAAAAAGCCACAGTGGAAAATCACAACAATAATAGATTTTAGCAAGGGTTAACCGAAGCTGACCACAGCATGCCTTAAACCTTGTTAAACTTAAACACATTTACGATAGCCTCCCTACTGCTGTGAAATTATGGGAGGGGGAAAATCCACAGAGCTGCGTGGCTCTTGAAGCATTTGGACAAGGAGAGAGCGGTTAGAGGGCTCTTCTAGGAATGGTCCGGCATAGCTTGGGTCTGATTTCAAATGGCCGTGGAAATGTTGTGTTGACCTGGGTTTAGAGATGAACTCATGATCTTTCAACTGGCTGCTTGCTGCTCCACCGACTTAGTTATATTGCAGCTGGCATTTTATACACACACACACGTAAACGCACAAATGAATCAATTAAATTAGAAGAACTGTGACGAGTCACAGGCGTTCGGCGCAAGGAATATTTCCACAAGGACACAAGACTCAATCTTAACAGAGACAGTCCGTACAAAATGTTCTTGAGCGAGCACATGGTGCTTTAAAAAAAAAAGGCTTGTCATGCAAACACTTGCACCGAATTAATAAAACAATTCTCTCCAAATTGTCCCGGAGCATTTTTTGTACAGACGGCAGTTTAGAAGAATTTAATAATGTCACAGATGATAAAAACGGTTAACGGAACGAGAGTGGGAGGGGGTTTTGGGCAGGGGGGGGGGGTGAATTATTATCCTCCATCTGTGGCTTTGTCAAGGGGGCTTCATGGCCCTAACTGTGGACCAGGTACCTCCCAACCTCGAGAGAGAGAGAGAGAAGCCGAGGAGACTCGCAGGAAATGAGGGAAATCTCCGCCGGTCAAACATGGCTTTTTGTTCCAAGCCCACCAGGGATGTGAGGGAGGTGGAAGGGGGGGGGGGGGAGCGCTTTAGCAAGACCGTGTGCGTCTCCCTCTCTCCAGATGGACCGCACGTGCAAGGCAGCCCAGAGAGAGCACGAGGGCAAGCTCCAGCACGCGCTGGATGGCAGACTCATCCTTCTGCAACGTTAGCCCTCTGGTACGTCTGGTGGAGCTGGATTCGTGTCAAGCAGCGTCTCATTAACAGGTCCTTTCTGGTGTTGTTTTGCTTTGCGGAAGTGTGTGTGTGTGTGCGCGTACCACAGCCCCGCGAGTGTCCTGATACGCGAGGGCCAACGCCTGCCTCTGCATACACATCAATCATATATTGATCCTTCCGAATGCCAGAGTTTGCATATTCTAGTTTTTGCTGACCCACAAACATTTTCATTGCGACTTTATTGCGAGTGGTCAACTGAGATATGGGTCAGGTAGGGGGGGGGGGTTCCAGGGAAATTACTTGTTTATCTCATACTTCAAACATTGCCCTTTCGTATGAAAACCCCACAATGGTGCAAATAATTGTGGCATCTGCCACCAAGGTTTGCTGTAACATCTTTCACATGAGATACAGTGTGCCCTCGTTATTCGCGAACTTACGATCTGCGAGTTTTGACCATCCGCGAACCGCTTGTGGAACTCTACACGATTGCATCGAGAGAGAAGGAACGTGATGAGATAAAATGATGGGAGATAATATTAGTATGATATTTTTATTGATTTATTTAAGGTAAGCCATTACAAAGATACGTTTTCGTAGGCCAATATAATTACCCTTAAAATGTGCTATTCACCAGCATCTCTGGAACATATCCCTCGCGAATAATGAGGGAATACAGCACAAAACTCCACGATTGCCATTCGAGCAGCTCACCACCAGTCTGAATACAAAAATTGATTCTACCATCTCTCCAGCCTTCAGAAGCAGACAAATCAATTTTGAATCAAATAGTAGCCATTACACAGTGACATTTAATATACCAAATTCATTAAAGTTGTAGTTTATACTTCTTTGGGTACATAAGAAGCATATCAATTGGCATACTACGGGCAAAGGCCCCATAAACGTTTATTAATGCAGCACAACTAGATGGCAATAGTGACCCAATTTATTTTACCACTCAGATAAGCCCTAATTCCATATTATATTTGCCATTTTGTTTTCTATAGAATTTTTACGAGGATTATCCTTGCAGTAAAATTGCAAAGTAATAGAAGTCACATGTAGGTTACTGGGCAATGTTATTTTTAAAGACTGTTTAATGTTAGTGGAAGTTTGCCCATTTTCAATGACAGTGGTGGTGAGATCTGAAAGAATAAAGCTTAGAAGTATGGATAGAATAATCCACGATAATTTTATTAATGTTCTTTTTCCACAACAGTGTCTGGGTGTTTTTTTTAAAGTATCATTTGTGCAACTCTCCGTAAAATGTTTATGTTATTTTAACGTTTTTCAACACATGTATATGCTCTGAGAATGCGAACAGCACATCGTAGTGATGCCACATTTTCCAAATACCACATGCGGTTGACATACGTATGTATGTTGAACCTCTTTTGCACCGTATGTAGCCAACCGTGGTAATCGGAGGTGCGGGGGAAGGACAACAAACGAAGCACAAAAAGCAGTTCTAAAGAAACGAGTTTCCAATCTAGATGTAAAACTGCATAAGGCCAGTGGTTTACAGTTACGCGATTAACTGGCGTTAACCCTAAGAAACCATAAGAAAAGGGGTTAAATTGACTTTGACGTTAGTATGCCCAGTACTATTTTTCTTGTGTGTAATTACTTGTAAAGTGCTGTATGCATGTGCCATTGTCATGTGCAATACTTCCTAACTCCGTATAACACGGTGCACTGTAATAATGTAATCACATTAGACCTCTGAACGTGATCCATTGTGACAATGATACATTGGTTATTGCAATTTTTTTGCACTGCAGTAAACAAACCTTGTAAAAATAAATTTCAAAAAGGTATTGGGAAACTGAAGAAAATAAATAAGTTAGGCCCCAAAAATAGATTAACTGTGAAAAGTATTAAAATCACAAAAGTGAATTGTTCATATCTTGAAAAAAATCTAGTGAGTATACATTGAAGAAGTATTTATATCCATAATACGTTCCTGACGCACACTTTTACTTGTGTCAATTACGATCACGATAGTAGAGACGTGTTGCAATTTTATGATCTACTCGAAAAACTGAAAAGGGTCCAAAGTAAGTGTGGGACAATGCGCTATTGGAATTGCATCGTGGCAGAAAGAGGACCGCGTGAATATGGAGAACATACACAGGTCAATGACGTCGTTCAAACTGTGAAGAAAGGTGCGGTGGGCTTGGACAAGACGCCTCGCTGCCAGGGATGATGGCCGATGGGCAAGAACAATAATGGGTTTGACGGCCACGCAATGCGGTGCGTCGAGGGCGCGTTCAAGCAGGAGATGGAGCAGTAAAGTTAGCTCACGCGCGCGGGCTGCTTGGCGGAGTATCGCACTGCAGGATTGTGAGAGGTGGCGGCTGCTTGGGGGAGGCCCGTATCCAGCAGTGGATTGACCATGGCTGCTGCTGATGATGATTAAATACTTCCGAACCTATTTTTTTTTCCTGGAAGGGCACCGATGTTGAGAAAAATCGTGCGAGCTGACATCTTACCTGACGTTAAGTAACTAATAGTGATCAGAGAGATTAGTAAACCAGGCGGATAGCAGAGTGTCTGTTGCAAGGCCTAAGGTCACATGTGCTTCCTATTTGGTAAATGTGTTCTCCAACCTTGGCACCCCCACATAATTAGTCATTAGAGCAAAAATCTATCTCACAGCCAATCCAACTTAACTTTTTCAGCACATATTAATGGACTCTGAGCAGCACAAACACTTTGATGTCAATAATCTACTGTTTTGTAAACGAGAGGTGAACTTTTTGAAACCGTACGGCGACATTTGAAACATTAGAGTGGGATTTTACGTGGCACGGTTGATGTTATTTGAGAGAAAGTTGTCAACGATCATCGTTGACGAATGTCAGGAGGATGTGGCCGAGTGGCTTGGAGGTCAGAGCACTGACCCGGCACTGCTGAGAACCTCAGTTTGAATCCAGGTGTCAGCTGCCTGTGATTATTAAACTAATTTCTCAATTACAGTGAGTTTATGGTCTCAGCCCGGTCACCAATGGCTGCACTGTAAAAAAGAAAAATCCATGGCATTAAAATGTGGGTTGTCTCGTAAAATGCGTAGTTCAAATACGGGGGAGTTCTTCTGCCTACTCTGTGGACCAGAGGTCACTTGAAAGCATCTCAGCGGTAGTTCAGCAGCCGTTACTGCTGGTCAACCTTGCTTATATAAACAGCTACGGAGGCAGGGCACCCACGTGCCAACGTTACGCAGCCATTACGGCGCCCGGGTGGACTGCACAAACCTAATTAATGTGGGCGGCAATTGAATTGGCAGGCAAAATTCATGGTGTTGTGGTTGTGTCGCTAGAGCAATAGACGAGGTTGTAACCACTTCTTTCCCACTTTGTACAGGTGCCATTGGCCTACTTAATTAATGCTCATCTTCCTTTGGTGAGCAATTGATTACCCAGAATTCCGCTGCCCTGCTCCGAGTGCCAACAAACAAACATCACAATAAGAGCACACTGACAGATTAGCGATGCACTAACGATAAATCTAGATTCAAAACTCTTTTCTTTACAACTGCTTTTTGTGTTTAGGTTGATTTCCTTCCCCTGCACCGCACCTCCGATTAGCATGGTTGGCTACATACGGTGCGAAATAAGTTCAGCATACAAACATACATGCAGTCACCATTCAGATAAAATTGGGTAAAAAGACAAAACATGTTTTTACGTTACTGCTATCATCGAGGAATGGCTATTACAGAATGCTTTTCTAAAATGGCAGTCAAGAGGCAGATGGAAGTTGATTTGATCCAAAATGACAGAATCCTGCCCTATAGAACGATGATGGTCGAAAAATGTAACTCACTTAGGATGAAAAGCTTGCAGAAATAGATTACTGGGGCCCAGAAAGAAGAGACCCCGATCGAAAGGGAACATAACCATGCCCATCAGTGCTAGGCCTGTGTGGTTTGAAAACATCGCATATTATTTGTTTATTGCCATCCTGA